ATGCCCCAGGCTCTCTGTGTAGACAGTGTCACCCGTCCTACAGATGACATGATAATGGCTCCTCTGTGGGGTGGTCAGGTCCAGGGACCCTGTCCCTATAACTGTGGCCCATCCTGAGTGACATTCCCTGCACAGAGCTGTGGGGCCAAGACCGGGCAGGTGAGTGCTCCCTTGTGTTCAACCTCAGGGCAGAAAACAGGAGGGAAGGGCTCTCCCACAGGAGAGGAACTCAGAGCTGTGCTGTTAGCACCATTGGGTGGGATGGGTGCTACCCCTGCCTTGCCCTGAGTGCCCCATTCGTGCCCTGGCTGGGCAGGCAGGAGGGGGGAGTGTGTTGTGGGGGGTTTCTGAGCGGGACCAGAGTCATGAGGCTCATGGCAAATCCCTGTGCCCTGGAGTCCCTGACTATGAGGAAAAGAGAGGTGGGCAGTCACTTTGGAATCTGTGCCAAGCCTTGTATGACCAGAGCCACTGAGCTGCTAAATCATGTCAACATGGGTCTGCAGGTTCCCTAGGATCTAACATGTTTGGGGAGGGTATTTACTTTCTGCCAGGGTATTGCACCACCATTCTGGGCGTTTTTCAGCTGTGTGTGCATGTGTTGCTCATATGTTTATGTCTAAAATTGAATGCGGAAATGCTCCTCTGTCCTACTTTAACCCTAAGCAGCAGGAAAAAAAAATTGTAGTGATGTGAAATCGAGTGAACTTCCCAGTCTGCCAAAGCAGTATCAATGTTGGAAAATGAGCAGTATATGCTCTATTCAACGCTGGAAATAGGATTAGAATAATACTCTCCGCGGCAGTTCAACTTTGTATTTTAAAACCTTTTTATCAAAGTATAGTTGGTTTACAATGTTGGGTTAATTTCCGGTATACAGCATAGTAATGCACTTACACATACATATATGATATTTATATTCCTTTTCATGGTCTTTTTTATTGCAGGCTATTATGAGGTACTGAACATAGTTCACATTACTTTTTAAATTTGAAAATATAGTGGAATATACCTAGGTCCATGCAATGGTCCTAATGTTTGTGTGCCACCAAAAATTCATATGATGAAAACATAATCCCCAAAGATGATGATATCAGAATGTGAGCCTTTTCCTGGTGCTCAGGTCATGGGGGTGGAGCCCTTATAGGTGGATCAGTGCCCTAATAAAGGAGCCCTCAGAAAGCTCCATACCCTTTCCGCCACGTGAGGCCATCGGGAGAAGGCAGCAGCCACACCGCAGGAAGGGGGCTCTCACCGGCCGGGGACCGTGCCGCCAGCTTCGAGATCTGTGAACTATCAGTCTCTGTTGTTTATAACCCACCCAGCTGGTGATATTTTGTTGCATAGCAGCCCAAGCTGACTAAGACAGCCCAATATGGAAAAGGGCTCCTGATGACAGGCATGGGGAAGAACAAGACGCCATCAGAGGCAATTTCTGAGAAAAGTCTTAGCCATTCTCTACTGGACGCAAAGTGCTTCCTCCCTCCCCGACCCTCACCGTGTCCCTCTGTCCAGGACTTTATTCCCACCTCCTGTATCCATCATCCTGGGTGCACAATGAGTAGGGCTCTCTCAGGAGGGCTGTCTCATCCTCTTAGGAGGTCTCCACCAACCAGCCCTGATCTCTGTGCTGACATGTGCTGAGTCACACACTCGTCACCTGATTCAGCAGCACATTGATCCTGCTGCATCCTCTGTGTTCTATGCATTTTAGTTATTTTATAACAGAAATTATGGAACCTCAGAAGGTATGAGGAGCTGAGTGGAGCAAAAAGTGCTCAGGCAAAAGAGAGATGCAATGGCCTTGAAGCTTGTTTCATGAAATCAGAGCTTTTTGTCAGAAAATGTATTGGAAAATATGGCTCCAAGGTTTTCTCTCTTTTTATAAAGACTTTTTTGCATAAGCTTTCCTGAATTAATGGAAATTGACCTGCCTATACTGGTCCCTGCACATATGGGGATCAGGAGAGGCTCACGAGGGAGGCGGGCACTGGGATGTGGTTCCAGGGGGAAACAAGGGCCCGTCTGTGGATTCATGTCTAACTGGCTGTGGAGGTGCCCGTGTGTGACTGTGTGGGGCCGGTGTCATGGATTGTGTGGGGCAGGTGAGTCCTGCATTTCTGGTTCAATGCCTCACCCGTGGCATTGATCTGTGTGCCCCAGAAAATGTACAACCAGTAGGTTTGACCACATCTGTCACCTGAGTAATAGCTCAGCCCATAGCAAGTAAGTACAGGCTCTGTTTGTGGGAGGAGAGATAGGAGGGGTTGAGGCTACCTGCATGCATTTGTCACTGGGAGATGTGATGCAGGGAGGAGTGAGTGGGGTGGTTAGGGAGGGTCAAATGATGACTTACTGGGCATGAGATCAAGTAATATATTTTGCCAATAAACAATGTTTGGATAAATTCGTTGAGACTACAGTAAAATTTAACAAACTTAGAGAAATGGATTGTACAGGTTATTGTTAATCAAAGGAGGTTATCTGTAATTAAAATTTCAGATTAGAGGCTCATTTAGTACAGATTTATCAAAGAAACTGCAGGGAAGGGATTGATCTGTGATGAATGAATCAAACATGGGGGGAATTATGTAAGGATACATAAATATATATATGTATATATATAATGTTTGCTCTTATTATTTTGAGGAAATGTAACTCTAAGACTAAGAAAACGGTTTTTATTTCACCTTCACTCATCCCTTCTCCAATGATCTTCTTTTCTTCACGTAGATCCGGATTTCTGATCTTCGTCATTTTTCCTCTCTCTAAAGAACTTCCTTCAGCATTTCTTCAAAGCAACTCTACTGGCAACACAGTCCATCAACTTTACCTTCTCTGAAACAGTCCTTATTTTTCCGTCAGTTTTGAAGGAAAACTTTAAAGGATGCAGAATTCCAGGGTGGAATAGTTTTCTCTTCACAGTTTAAATATTTCACTCCACTCTCCTTGCTCGACTGGTTTCCAAGGAGGGGTCGGAAGTCACTCATCTTGGTTCCTCCATCTGTAAGGTGAGGGTTCCTCCCCTGTGGCTTCTTTCAAAAATTTAAAATTATTTTTGAAAATATAGCAGCTTGAGTATGATATGCCAAAGTATAGGGTGGTTTTTGGATGGAAAGGCATTTATCCTATTTGGGGTTCTCTGGGCTTCCTAGATCTGTGGCTTGGTGTTGTCACTGATTTGGGGGAACTCCCAGTCATTCTTGCTTCATATATTTCTTCTGTTTCTTGCTCTTTTCTTCTCCTTCTGGTCATCCCATTATGCATGTGTTACACCTTTGGTAGTCCTCCCACAGTCCCTGGACATTACATCTTGTATTTTTCCAGTCTCTGTTCTCCTGGCTTTTTGGTTTGGGAGGTGTTTTGATAGATCCTCAAGCTCAGAGATTCTTCCCTCATCAGTGTCCTCCGACCTAATAACAAGCCCATTAAAGCATCCTTCCTCCTGTGACAATGCATTTGATCTCCTACGTTTATTGCTGGTTCTTTCTTAGACTTTCCATCTCTCTGCCTACTTTGCCCATGTGTTCTTGGATGTTGCCTAACTTATCCATTTGAGCCCTTAGCATAGCAGTCATAGTTGTTTTACAATCCCAGTTAGATCATTGAAAAATTCCTGTCATATCTGAATCTGATGTTTGCTCTGCATCTTCAAAATCTTTTGTGCCTTTTAGTGTGCCTAGTAATTTTTTCTTGATGTCCAGATATGATGTATCAGGTGAAAGTAACTACTGGTAATAAACGTTTAGGGATGTGATGGTGATGTGTGGGGAGAGAGGAAGCCTCCTGCAGTCCTACAGTTAGGTCTCAGTCTTTCGGTGAACCTGTACCTCTGGACAGTAAACGTTGCAACAGATTCTCAGATCTTTTCTCCTCCATAGATGAGCTTGGATGGCTAGAGTGGAGTGGAGTTGGGTGTTTGCCTTCTGAGGTCAGTGAGGATCTGTGAAAACCCTACCTGATTAGGCTCTGGTTAACTAGCCTCTCTGAAAGCAGACCTTGTTAAGAACACAGTACTGTGGAGTTCAAAATAGTTTCTTTTCCCCTCCCCCTGTGAAGCACAGGGGGATGGATTTTTCTCCAGGATTTACTGAGAAAAATATCACAAAACTCACAGAAATTTGGGGGTCCTCCTATGATTAGTCTGCCTGGAGTTGCTCACTCTCAGACTTCTACACAAAGAGCGCCCACCAATCCATCTATTGTAATGCAGGGTTTCCTCCCCAAAGCCTTGTTCCCGCAGTTTTCCCGCTCCTGAGTCTCTGCTCCAGGAAGTCTCGATTTCCTCTTTTCGCCTGTCTGACTCTGCATTCTTTAGAAGCACTATTATCCCCTGTGTCCTCAAGTCTCTAAATGATGCAAGAATTTCCAATATAGTGAATGTTTCACTCATTGTTAGCTTGGAAAGGTGACTTTCAAGCTCCATGCATGAGGAGCTAGAAAGCAGATGCCTGCAAGTGAGTTTTTAATGTGTGTGTCCTGACTCTGATGATGTACGAGTCCTCCAGTGTGGACAACTGATTCTGCTGCAGCTGTAGTAATGTTAGCAAGACAGTCTTAACATCTCAGTGATACGTTTGCATTTTCCATTTCATTTTCTTAAGACACTTTTAATAATAAGCAGGATGCTGATGAATTCTAAGCATTTTGGAGTATATATGTTAGTCACTATCACATATTCATACACTCAGTATATATTTTGTAATTTATCAACCATATTGCTGAACAACATAGACATGGTTTTTAAATTCATGGACCTTACAGGCTGGTTGATAATAAGGATATTGAAAAATAGACATAAATTTTAAATAATAATAGTGAAAATTGTAATGGGTGTCATATTCTACAGGTTGACTCCCTCCTGTGGTGCATGAAAGTGTGTCCCATCTCAGGAGAGGAAAAGAGCAATTTTTTCCCCCAACATTGGTTATGTAAGAAGACTGCTAGTGTCATCACCACCACAGCCCCCTAAGCACTCCAGGCCCCTCTGAACCCTCTGCATGTCCTTTCACACAGATGCCTTGAGGAACCAAGGGGAGTTGTCTCTGAAAACCATCTTTCTATTACAAGTGGGGACTGGTGCTCTCGCCAATGCCATTCTCTTCTTCCATAACATCTCTCCACTCTTGCTTGGACACAAGAAGAAAACCAAAGACATCATTGTCACCCACATGGCTGTGGCCAATCTCTTGGTTCTTTTCTCCTCTGGGACTATCCACACAATGGCTACTTCTGTTCTGAGGAAGCCCCTGTCCAGCCTTGGGTGTAAGTTTGTATACTATATACAGAGAGTGGCTCGCAGCAGCAGCCTGTGCTCCACCTGTGTCCTGAGCACCTATCAGCTTGTCACTCTCATCCCCAGGACAGTGAACTGGATGATGCTCAGAGGAAGAACCCCTAAATTCACTGGTCTTTCCTGTTGCACCTGCTGGATATTCAGTATCTTAATGAATATCTACATTCCTGTGATGGTCACTGCTCCAAATAGCCTAGGGAATGATTCTGACACCCAAGGGAAATGGTTCTGTTCAGTCTCAAGTCTCAGTGAAGTCACTGTCATCCTGTGGTCATTTCCTGATGCCATGTTTATTGGCCTCATGGTCTGGTCCAGTGGCTCCATGGTGCTTCTCCTGCTGAGACACCACCAGAGAGTGCAGTACATTCACACCCCCACTGGATTCCACAGATGCCCCCCGGAGACCAGAGCCGCCCACACCATCCTGCTGCTGGTGGTCACCTTTGTCATCTTCTACATGATGAATTCTGTTTTTACTTTTTATATCACTGTCTTTTCTGATTTTCATCTATGGTTGCTGCAGACGTCTAATGTCTTGGTTTCCATATTTTCCCACTGTTTCCCCCTTCCTGCTGCTCCTTAGGAATCCTAGAACACCCAGAATCTGCTCTTGAGTTGTTAGAAATTATGGTTAAAGTGCTAAATGTGTAGTAAAGGTCATCAATAAGGACCATAATCCCGGTCTTCTGTAACTACTTAGTACTCAGTTTTTATTGAGGTATAATTAACATCACATTATATTACTCCTGATTGTACATTATGATTGGATATTTGCTTATGTTGCAAATGATCACAGTAATTCTAGTTGACATCTATCCATCTCCATACATAGTTAAAGAAAATTTTTTCTTGTGATGAAATCTTTGAATATTGACTCTCTTACAACCTTTCATTTTGTGACATAGTATTAGTAACTTTTGTCCCCAAGCTGTGTATTAAATACCCATGACTTGTTTATTTTATAACTGGAAGTTGGTACCATTGAAGTTTGTGCTCAAACCCAAATTTTGACATAAAATCCAGTGAAATTAGTTAAATTAAGTGCTGGTGTTGCCTTGGGAGATCTGAAAGTCAATCCATGAAACTGTCCCCTTGAAGAAGATTTAAAACCATCATTGAGGTGTCACATTTGGCCTTGATTAATAGAGCTATCTAAAAGAAAACCTCTTTCTCCAGGAACATCTGAAGTCTTTTCACAAATTTTCTCCCTATGTGAGTGTGGCTAATACATGACATAATTTTGCACATAATCCAGTTATGTTCCAGGTAAATGTTGCTCCAGAGTGGGTGGAGGTTTTATTTCTTAGATGAAGAAAAGAAACCTGGAAAATGGAGAAGTGCTTTTATATATCGGTAGGTACCTTTTCCGCTCATACTTCTCCAATATGCTGTATTGTTAAGCAGAAAATCCATGTTTTTGAATGGATTGCTTAACCTTTAAACCTGGAATTTATTTACAAGATTGACCCTCAGTAAATGGGATTGAATAGATGAGTGAAGTATATGAAGCAGGGAGTCAAAGCTGTTAGTTGAATATTTAGTTCACATCACCAAAGAACAGTAACTTGTGTTTTTTATTTTTATTTTTTCCTATTTGTCCTATCTGCTTTTTCCTCTTTTTTTTCCTGCCTTCTTTTGGGAAATTATAGTGCTTATGAAATTCCATTTTGGGGATGATAAATTTAAGGTATAGCCATTTTTATTCATGGATTTAGCCATCATATACAGGCTCCAACAGTATGATGTTGTTGTTAGAAGTACTATTTGACATTTTATAGAAGATGTAAGATTCTTGCAATAGTATGATTCCATGTAACTTAATAATGCTTTCCAGCTGATGCAGGGGCTTTCTGGGTTGAGCCTTCCAACCAGGATCATGTGTTGCATTTAGTTGTCACGGCTTTTCTTTCCTCTCAGATCTCAAACTCTTCTTCTGTGATTCCATTTCTTTCATATACTGAAACTACTTTGTTTTGGGGGATGACCCTTCCTTTTCAGTCTCAAGTCTCAGTGGAGTCCCTGATGTCTCCCCAGGACCAGCCAGACTCAGTTTACCCTTCCTTGGCAGGAGAATCTTGAAGAAATATTTGCATTCCTATGTCTTTTGCACCGTTATTCACAATGACCAAGGCATAAAGCAACCTAAATGTCCATCAAAAGATGAATGGATGTTCATCTACTGATGAGTGATAAGATGCTTCCGTATCTTGACAATTATATATAATGTTGCTGTTAATATCGGGGTGTATTATCCTTCTGAATTAACTTTTGCATTTTTCTTGGGTATACGCCCAGGAGTGGAATTGCTGGGCCATATGGAGGTTCTATTTTTTAGGTTTTTTAGAAACCTCCATATTGTTTTCCATAGTGGCTGCCCCGATTTGCATTCCCACCAACAGTGTACAAGGGTTCCCTGTTCTCCACATCCTTGCCAACATTTGTTGTTTGTTTTCTTTTTGAGGATGGCCTTGCTTACAGGTGTGAGATGGTACCTCATTGTGATTTTGATTTGCATTTCCCTGATATTAGTGATGTTGAGCAACTTTTCATGCCCCTGTTGGCCATTTGCATTTCCTCCTTTGGAAAAAATACCTGTTCAGTTCTTACTCCCATATTTTAAATGGGTTGGTTAGTTGTTTGTTTGCTTTTTAATAGAAATACAAGTGATTTTTATAAAATAAAATAAAATAATAAAATAAATAATAAATAAGAAGATGAATGGATAAAGTCAAGGCAGTTTTAATATATACACTGTACTATTACTCAGCCATAAATAAGAAAAATGTCTTGCTTTTTACAAAACATGGATGGACCTTGAGCGCATTATTCTCAGTGAGATAAGTTAAACAGAGAAAGAACAACACTGTGTAGTATCTCTTATATGTGGAATCTAAAAAAGCCAAGCTCATGAGACAGAGAGTGTAATAGTGGTTTGTAGGGACTGGGCTGGGAGGAAGGGGGAGATGTTGGTCCAAGGGTAATAAATACTTGGAAATTGTTAAGAAGTGAGATCTCCAGTGTTATCACCACCAATTTTTAAACAGTCAATTACAGCAGGGAACGGAGGTGTTAATTTTACTGTGGTAATCATTTCACGATATATGGGTTTATCAAAATATGTTGAACACCGTCAACTTACATGTGTGATAGATCAACAGTGTCTCAATAAAACTTTTATGAAATAAAATTGCGGTTCTATTCTCACCGCTTCACACCAGGGGACAACCCGTCTCAGCCTATTCCAACAGTGGTGATACGGACCTGTCAAGTGTCTTCATATTACATTTATCATTTTGTCTTTAAAATTAATCGGCACTTGAATGAGAGAGATCCTGAGATGGTCGTAACATGTTCTCATGACCCCTAGATGAACCCACATTAGCTCCCACCTCAAATGCCACATAAATCAAAATGTAATGACTCTTATTTCAGTGTCAACATATATCAGGTAAGAGTCTGTGTAAGGAGGAGTTTTACCTTCACCCAGTTCTTTATTTAATCATTCATTTAGTCATTCATTTTTGTTCATATCAAATATATGCTGAATTCCTGAACGACTCAGTGGAATGCATTCTGATGCAACACTGTCAGTTTTAATGAGCATTTTGTCCTAGATATAAGGAGCAAAAGACCAATAAAGCTACTGTAATTCTTCAAAAAAAATTTTGTAGGCTTATCTGTATGGTCCCGATGCAGTCCTGTCATCAGTCATTTCACAAAAAGAAGTATTGATCCCTTTACATCAAGATCAGATTGTAGGAACCAAGATCTGCTAGGTGAAGCTTTGTACATTGCTACCAATGTGTCATTTCTTCTGGGACATCACAGCAAATGAGCTCTTAATTTTTCAAGTTTCATGCACATGCACACACTCACATGCATACAC